GCAGAAGAGGGACGTCAGATGAACATGAAGCCAGCCGGCGTGTTAAATCAGAACTTCTGATTCAGATGGACGGTTAGTGGACCACGGGGGGAGGCGTTGTGTGTAGTAGCTGCTGATTGAGTGGATTGGCCACAAAAAAAAAAGAGGAGTTTTTATACTTTTAGAATTAGTATTACGTTAGTAAAACTTCATTTGTCTGTGTGTTTTTCAGGTGTTGGCGGAGCCTTGGAAAATGACGACCCCTCTAAAATGGTGATGGTGCTCGCCGCTACAAACTTCCCCTGGGACATCGACGAGGCGTTGCGGCGACGGCTGGAGAAGCGGATCTACATCTCATTGCCCACAGGTGAGCTTTCAAGCCACCGCCGCCCAACTTGTTTTTACGCAAGATGAGGACGATGCACACTGATGGATCCCATTTCCCCTTGAAGCCTCACCTTAACGTCTGATCCGTTCTGTCTGCATGTAGCCGTGGGCCGTGTGGAACTTTTAAAGATCAACCTCAGGGAGGTGGAGCTGGCTCCTGATGTCAACCTCGACCTAATAGCGGAAAAGATTGAGGGATACTCGGGAGCGGACATCACCAACGTCTGCAGGTCTGTGCATACTTGGGACAACATGATCAGATGTTACAATTGAAGATCCGTCTTATTCACAGTAATTTGAACGCTGTTTAAATTTCATCCTCTAGTATTCAGAATCTTCTTTAAAACAGTTGTAAAAAGTGTCCACACACAGTGGTGCTGGAATTTATCAACAAGGACATTAATACTGATCAGAGTTAGAGGCTGCATATGACTTGAGACTGGGACAGGGGTTAACTTTCCAATAGCACAACCAGCCTAAACATGAAGCCAGAGCTGCATTGCAACTCCATCTCATAATCTAATCTGTGGCTGTATTTGAAAATTGATGTTCACGGGATTTCTTTATCTTGTGTGACTGAACTCGAGCTGTTTTACACAAACAAATGGGAAAACGTTTCACTCTCGAGTTGTGAAGCCTGAGAGAAGCCTGACTGCAAATGGTTCCCACAGTTTTGTGATATTTAAGTATAAAAATATGTTGAAAACATTTAATCCATTTCACAATTTTACATTTCATTGTGTTGACCTCCCATGTAAAATCCCAATAAAAATGCAGCTTGTTCAGATTTCTTGATTTAAAAAAAAAAAAAAAAACAGCACATTACACCTCTTTGTGCAACAGAACTCAGTAAATCACATTAAGGATTTGTAATATGATGTGACTGACCCAAGGTGAGTACTTAAAGGTGAAAATCTAGAGCTTCAGTCCAGAATCCTGTGACCAGACTGTTAATTTTTTTTGCAATTCCCTGCCTTATGCTGACAACAAATAAATTTAGTTATTGGATTTTTCCCCCCCACATTTATTAGTCTGTTTTATGTAATTAATCTTAATATACTAACATGAATTCTATTTTAAATTTTTGTCACTTAAAGACCAGCTGTGCCTTTGTCAGACACAGCTTCAGGGTTTACCAAAAAATGAATAAATTAAGCAAAATGTTTTTCTGTTTTATTTAAAACAAAAAAGCAGAAATTATTCCTTCTGGTGCTGAAGTAAAAGTCCTGTTATTGCACTTATAATACTTATTAATTAAACTTTTTATTTTCATGCAAAAACATAATATTTTTAGGAACTAATTTCTCACAATATTTCTGCTTGTGTTTCTTTCCAAATGTAAAACTTCAAAACAGTCACATTTCCTTGTAAAAAAAGTTGTCGTTAAACCACGTCACTGGCAGTTCCCAGCAACAGATGGGAGAGGGGCACCACTCTCACATCTCTCCTTGCCATGGTTGGAAATTAATATTATGTAAATAGATTTAGTTTTCTCTTAGTCTGTGGATTTGGTTTGCAAAAGTTGTGCAGAGGATTTCAGGAATGTTCCGTTCTGAAACGATCTTTGTTCGTTTCTTAATCATTACTTCAGTGACCTTGTGTACTTCATCTAGGAACAGCCTCTAGCTTTAGGCAGCATTTCTTCATACAAACCACCCCATCTTATTTTTGAACATTTAAGTCTTAAAACACTGAGTTCTGGGATATCTGGTAACCATTTTCTCTGCCATGTCTGCATCAGAGATGCATCCATGATGGCCATGCGTCGTCGAATCCAAGGCCTGAGCCCGGAGGAGATACGAGCCCTGTCTAAAGATGAGCTGCAGATGCCCGTCACCATGGAGGATTTCACTATGACTCTGAAGAAGATCTCAAAATCTGTTTCTGCTGCAGACCTGGAAAAATACGAATCCTGGATGGCAGAGTTTGGCTCCGTATAGAGAATAGATGCAAACTCGCACAGTTGGACCAGAGGGTTGAAAAGAGAATTCCCAGCTTTGAAGTGTAAAGGCTTTGAAGAGGAGGAGAACTGTAGAGTGAGCCAAGAAGCACATCAGGGATGTTGGAGTTCACATCAGAAGGCTGGCATCTTTGACAGAGCTTCATAAAAACTTTGAGAAGCTCCACTTCTGCTCTTTTTACATCTCCCTCCCCCCACCCACCTTCGCACTATATAGGAAGACTTCTGACATCTTCCACCTTGGTAACTTGAGGGATGTCAATATTATTAAGCTAAACATTTCTGACCTCAGAAAGATCTAGTAGTTGCCTAAAAGTCAAAGATAGAAAAAATGTATTTGTTCTTGTGAAATTTTCAATCTTGTTCACTTCTCATTAAAAAGGAAACAAATGTCTATCACAGAGCATCGGACCTTACTTCTGATGACTTGACATACAATAAATCTTCAATTGCAATCAATATTTCAAAAAGAAAACGTTAACAATGTTTCACCCAAAGCCAAAACAAAACTGTTCAGACAGCAAAGGCAAATGTTGATTTTTTTTTTTTTTAACAAAGTTCAGATTGTCACTAATCCCACAAAAAAGTGGTCAGCTTTGCACTTGCAAGATGTTCTACAAGGCATAAAGTTTATGTAGCATCATTCAACACTCAGACTCAAGTGTTGTAATAATTGCTGTTAGCAAGGTAAATCTGTTGTATTTGTATGAAGTCTTACTTCATTCATAACGATTGTTGTCTTAAAGTACTGTATATATATTCAGCACTTTAAATGTATTTTCTAAAAACTTTCCTGATTTGACCACTGACTGAACTCTTGCGTTTTAGTGCTGTTTGCTTTGTTGTGATTATTTTGTTGAGCTTTTTTTAATTTCTCCTCAGCTTTAGATTCAATTTGGACAAACAAATATATGGAGGGCACAAAAAATGTGTTTAATTGTTTTTGTTGTTGTTGTTGTTTTTTTAAATAAAAAGAAAAATTTGTTTTGACCTAAAATCTTGCCTGCTTCAATTGACCTGTGGCGTACCTCAAGGCTTCATTCCTGGGCCACTTTTAATCTACCTTTATATGATCCCAAAAAATTAACTTTTTTTTATTTTTAAATCATTCCAAAAGTTTTTCCAGTGGTCCCTGTACAAGCAGTTCATCCAAAATGGTGAAGCCAAGAGTCCATCACCAGCTTGAACTGTGTTTTACAAACAAACTTGCCTCGCCTTAAAATATAATCAGGAGATGTTTTCATGGTTCTGTAACATTGGGTGCAGTATTTAATTTTGGGCATTGGTCGCTTAAAGTCAACAAGTATGTTTTTTAGATTTTCATACACATCGCAGTTGTTGAACAGACAGCAGTTCAGTTAATAGAAATGCATGTAATTCTCTAACTTTGAGTTAGAGAATTACTTTCATAAGTCATACGAGTCAAATGAATATTGTAACAGAGACTGACCTGGTCTGGGAGTCATGCAAGCCACTTGATCACTCAGACTCTTTTATTAGGCAGTTGTAGCCTGATACTAGACTGAATATTTAACCTCTTCCCCTCTGTTTACACACATCAGGGACAGATACAGAAGTCTGGTGCATTTTGTTGTAATGTTTGCAATGTTTGTCTGCGTTGCACTGGAATGGCAACATCAATACAAACGTTGATTGTATCAATTATACGTTCATGCTACACCTTTCCTTGAACCCTGTTTTTTTTTTCTTCCCTGAAATCTGATTAATAACACTAAACTCTATCTTCAGCTGATCTCCTGAGGTTTTGGTATTTTTTTTATTGCTGCGTCCTCCGATAGCAAACATTCTGATTTCATGGTGTCTTTCATACATCGTTCTCTTTGTTCACATCTGCTTTTCCATATTCAGTCATTCGGTGTAAAAACATATTCACCATCTTCTGTGTCAGCTTCCCTGTCTCTGCTGAAGAATAACATCCCCACAGCATGATGCCATCGCTACCATAAGTCACAAAGCACATGGTGTGTTCATGGCAATGAACCAAAGAAGATTTTATAGTATTTAAAACTAGGATAACGTCACACACAGTTTGGACTGTAAGTATTACTTAGATCACTTCTATAGAGATTTTCTTGTTGCTGAATCTTATTTTGGGTATTAGTGCGAAGAGGAATGAACACTAATGCACAGCACATTCATGAAAACATGGATCAAAGCATGCATCAATTTCTCTCCACTTAGCTCCACAGACACGCACTACTTTGTTGGTCACTTAAGGTGCCAATAAATTAAAGGAATTTTTGTTATTGTAATGGGACAAAATATGCAAAAGTTCAAGAGTGGTTGGAGCCCCGATTTGGCTTTTTCGTGTCTTCTAGTTAAAAGGCAAATGAAATGATTTGAAATTAACCTTAATTTGATAAAACACGTTTGTTAGGATGACTTAAGTGACACAGTGTAAACTGATTGGTTTGAATATATTGTTTTTGTGGAAAATGTGACGAACCGAAATAATAATAATAATAATAATAAAAACGATGTCCATTTTGAATACATTGCACTGTTCCGGTCGCGTTGGTTTTGTTTTTACGTGACCCACAAAACCCCTCTCGCGCGCATATGGGTGTTTTCAGGATCTATATGTTCCTCCGCCGCTCGACAAAAAAACCTCCACGCTTCCACAATAGGGGCCATGTTTTGTCGGGGGTGGGAGGGAGGAAAGCGAAGAGCCGTCTGATGCTGCATAGAAACGAACAGCGCAACCTGCGGGCGGACAGTGACGCCGTGCGGCCGCATCCGCGAAGGACGCAGCGCAGCGCAGCGCGACCAGCCGCGGAGACGTTTCTGTTTTTTTCCGCTCCCGTTATTATCGCCACAGCGGCTCGATCCGACACAGCGCCACAATGGAGACCAAACCGGTCATCACCTGCCTTAAAACGCTGCTTATAGTCTACTCCTTCGTGTTCTGGGTATGTAGCCTCTCTCTCACTGTCTCTCGCTCTCTATATAGACATATCTATATTTTTTTTATTCCCTCACCTTTCCTAACAGAGCAAATCTTGCCGCTCCGCCTCCGCTGCTGTTCGTGTTTTTGTTGTGCGTGATGAAAGGCCGCTCGGTGCCAGCATCAGAGATGGATCCGTGCTGTTGACTAAATCCCTCCACCACCACCCAAAAAAAAAAAAAAAAGAAAAAGAAAGATAGGCTACATTTAAAAAAAAAAATCACGCCGCGACTCTCTTTTTAGCGTTTGGAATCGCCTGCAGTAACCCCTTATGTAACCGCGGGGGTCTAAGGTTGCTCATGTATTGGCTGCTGGGCGTCAGCGCGTTTTTATCTCAACACTGTAGCATCATGGTCGATGTGAGGGAGGAAAAAAACAACAACAACAAAAAAGATTTAGGAGCAGCTTTGAGGGCGCTGCATGGGAGACTGGCCTGTTTTCCGTGGGATGCTGTGCATTTTAGTGTTGCTCCTATACATTCTTAAAGGGCCCCTGTATTTACCCGGGCCTCAGTGCTGGAATGTAACACCGTGAATATAGCCCACTTTCACTCTGAGTGGGATTATCCCCACAGGAAATCCCTGCTTACACTACCATCATTGAATATGTATTGATTGCAAGGCTAAAAGCTGCTATTTTATCTTAGCATCAACCAAAATATGACGTGGCCTGTAGCTCAAATGCATTTTGATAACCGGGTTGCTTTAACAAAAATAGGTTGAGATTTATAGAGACACACAGCATCCTGATAAACATTAATATGCTATTGTTCAATGGTAGTGTCTAGAGTCCTTTGTGAACAAACAAGTTACAGATGAGGCGGAATTAAAAGTGAAACCTGTATGAATATTGTGCTATTAATATCCCAGCATCGCCACAGTGTCAGTGTGTGAACGAGAAAGAAATCAGCCCCCCCATAAAAAAACAACAACAAAAAAAAAACAGAAACTCAATCTGGGTACACGACTTTCCCAGTCGTCAGAGAAATTGCAGACACTTGGAGTTTGAACTAACAAACAGGTTTTTTCCTTTTTTTTTTTTTTTGTCTTGTTTCACAACTGAAAGAATGAATCAGACACTTAACTGGACCTGGTGAGGGATCCCAGACTTCAGGGTTTGTCAAACCAACTAAAGCAAAGGTCTAACTTAACATGCGTTAAGTTTCCACTTACAAGAAGATGTTGATTCTTTGAAAACTAGATCCCGACGAAGTCACTGGTGAAATAAGCCGTTTCACTTTAGAATTTGCTGAAACGTCGTAATTTCAGAGCATTAAGAGCATGCCGAGTTCTCTTTTAATAAATAGAAAAATGCATCTCATTATTTATTTTAGACATAATTCTCTCTGCTGTGTGCGTTTTGGCTTTTTGCTTATCACTATGCATTTTGCTAAGTTTGATGCAGTAATTTAAAAAGTTGGGTTGCAGTTTGTGTGGTGGTTTTGAGTTGATGGGTGTGTGGTTACAAAAAAAGTTGCAAAAAAAAAAGAAAGAAAAAAAATGGCTTGAAAATCAAACCAAACAAAACCACCTGCAGCTCAGGTTGTGTCCCATCCTCTATTGTTTATTCACTGTTGGCAACATATCTTGCTGTTTGGGTCGACTCTCTCCCTGCCAAATGTGTCCATCTACTGCAGATTGATTGTATATTTTCCCAACCGGGAATTATGGGTAACGATGGACAAAAAAAAAAAAAAAAAATCTGATCATTTGTCTCCAGTCTACGACAAATCTGTCATCTGGTGAAGCTTAAATTAGAGTTGCTGCTCTAAAAGGAGTCAGCTGTTGTTTTGGTGTCTGATCAGGATGGCTGCTGTCTTTTGATGGTTTTGTCCCACAGGAGGGAAATCTTGGGGCAAACTCAAGACAGTATATCCTTCAGTTTATGCAAAAATATAATATGTATTTCACTGCTGTAGAATCTCATTTCGGTGGTTCACAGGACAAATGTCATATTAGAGCCATCAAAATCTGTGAATAATTTGTTCCTCTTTTAAACAGGAAGTGAGTACCGTATAAGGACGATGGCGTGTTATCAAAATGTAGCGATGGGCTATCACTGTACATAAGGCACAGACAGCTTATTTTTTAGTTTTGCAAAAATGAACGTCTAGAGGTCAAAGTCTTGGTATTTCTTTTACTGTACCATTGCTTGAGTCGTTATTTTGTCTAACATATCAGCCGCACCTTTTTAACAAACTCACCGTGTAAAAATCTTTCCGTAATTACACAAATGATTGGCAGATTGAGTTAGGCTGCATGGTTTATGTGTCGAACTCTTGTCCAGTTTACATCAGCTTAAAATAAAATCCAGAGAATTTACCCCCCCCCAAAAATGAAAGAAACCAAGAGCAGACAAAACGAAAAAAAAAAGACATTAGGATTGGTGAGGCTATATAATTATAAGTAGCATGGTGACAAGTCTGAGATAAAAGAGAGGAAAGTGGGCCTCCTTTAGAGTGTGGACTACAGATTTATCTGCACTGTCTGGCTATCTTGCTGTTCTACAGCAGAGGAAGCAAAACATAAGACACACCCTGCAGTGTAATGCAAACCAGTACAGCACTATGGGACGTCTTTTATTTTTCCAGCACATCTGGAGCGTTTTTAGAAAGGTTTTATACTACAAATTTTGTTATTATGCGAAACTGCATACATCACTCAAGACAAGAAAGATGTAACATATTTAGTTTCTTTTTTTTTTGTTTGTTAATTCAATCTGGCTGACAAGATTCTCTTGGGTTTAGAGAAGTTTTCTCAGTGTTACCAACCAGGCCACGGTGCCCCAACCATACAACTGTGACCGTCGATGAAAAATATGCGGCACGGTTGTATTGCCACTTGCAGCAGGAAGTAAACAGCCAGACCATTGAGGTGTCTGCACTGGATGTTGATGAGCACGCCATTTATGGCGCTGGTGCTCACCGCTTTTACTCTATATCTGTCCTCTGTTAAGTCTGAAAATGACTTTCAGTCACTTTAGCTGATTTTCTTTCTTCTCTGTGTCTGAGCTAAGTGAAAAGAGAGCCCTTGCCTGCCGCCGCAGTCTGCATTTGACACAGTTGTATTGATAACTAGAATCAAGAACCACTAAAGTTACATGTCTTGCAAAACAACTGAAGTGTTCATTCTGAATAAATTCGACTCCTGGGAAATATAAATAAACCTCCTCGAATAGTTCATTACTTTCGTTGGAAACGTCAAGAAGTTATTCTTCAGGCTAATTTTGGATTTGTTATGACACTCTCTGGTTTATAAACATAAGTCTAATATAAAATAAAAATAGTATAATCTTCTTTTAATCTATTTATTTAACTTTCCTTTGGGATTAATAAAGTATCTTTGAACTTTAGCTGAATTCTGACCATGCAACTGCAAACAAGCTGAGTTAGCGGGGTGATGGCAAAATTTCATTGGTTTTGGTACAACTCTTCTGACACAGGATCCTCTCACTCATTTCCAGCGATAAGGTCATTTAATTAATCTGGAAGTGATTTACCCATCAATAATTGTTTTCAAGAACTCATTATTATGCTCCCCACACTCTCTGTAAACCCCGACTAACATGATTGAGTACCTTCTCCTGGATCTCATTAAGGCTAAATGTTATAGGAAAGCTGATTTCAGCCGTCAGGTCCTGCAGAGCTGTGAGACGCAGCTGAGCAGAGCCGCAGTCACAGACATGAAACTTTTTATATTTAGTCGGTGGTCCACGAGCGCACTCTACCATCTAGAGCGTCGGGTTTCAGGCAGCCAGAATGGAGGAGAATCTCGAGCTTGGCACAACCTCCCACCCCCCCCCCCTGCACCCCTCTGAGGACTGAAAAGCTGGTTCGAAATAGGAGAGGTGTCCAAATCTCGGGCCTGTCGGTTTCCCTGTCTCGAAGCTTTCTCGTGAGCTTGTGAAGAAGTGGCACCATTCTTGAAATACACGCCAGGGGACAGGAGACGCAGAAACGCGGAGCAGGTGTTGCAGTCGGCTCCTCGTCCTTCGCGGGCATATTTTGTTATCGCACCTTCTGTTTCTTTATTAGGCCGAGTGGGAGGCGAATTGAAAGAGAAGCTCAGGGAGGTGGCGGAGGAGAGGAGGAGAGGGGAGGGTGACCTGTTTTAAACTCGGCGCTGTAACCACAGCGGTCGGCGTTGAATTTCAAACAAAACATGCGAGAAGGGGGGTCCTAGAGGCGACGCGGGGTTGTGGGGCTCAAAAAAGGGAGGAAGAAAGAGCGTCTCAGGGTGTTTGGAATTCAGCCTCGGGCAAGCAGCTTCAATAGTCCTCCGCAGACTTCAACCCCTCAGCGGCATGGAGAGCTGCACTCCAGAAACGACACCAAATTGTTTGTTTGTGCGAAGCAGCAGCTGTTTGGAGGACAGGATCATGTACATGATTAGAAAGATTATGATAATCAAAGGTAATACTCACTGACACAACTCCCTGTGCTGGCCGGCTCAATCACTGTTAATAGAAATACTAATAATATTACTGACAAATTAAATCATCAGCCTTAAGCCCTTTAGTTTATCAAGGCGTCGACTAAATGGAGGTGAAGGCTTTTCTGAAAAGTGCTTTAGATGTTTTGTTTGTCTTTTATTAGATGCTGGTTGACTTCAGCTCCTGTCTTGTAATTGTTGGATTGAAATAAAAAAAATTTACATTTATTGGCAAAAAATAAAATAAATAAATCATATGAAAGCATGCTACTTTTCTGAAGATTTTTTTTTTCCCACAATCAGAAAAATATTAAAACTAAATAAAGTAAAGGGAAAAAAAACTTTTTTGAACCACCTCTCACTGCACTTACAGCTGCAAGTCATTTGGACTTCTGCCCTTTACACTTTCTACTTCTAACAACTGACGATTTCAAGAAATAGCTCAAACTCATTCACGGTAGTGAAGTCTACAGCTGTAGACTTTATAGCTCGTTGATTTTCCTACCATGTGGATGAGTCACTTTCTATTGTCTTCACCCGTTAATATCTAAGTAAACAAGACTTCAAAGACTGAAGGAGCCGGTTTGAAACCTGGAATTTGATCAACTATTTCTTTTTTAAGATCAGAAGCAGAAAAATGATTTAATGTTGTAAGACTTTGCATGAAGTTGCCTTCAACTTAAATTATTTTTTGTTATTGTTGGGCTCCAACTCATATTTCGTTTTTGTTTTGTTTTTTTTTATTTGCAGTTTTAATGCAAAACTTTGATTTGATTGGCTGTTTTTTCGATTTTGTTAAAACGAGGTTTTGTCGTCTTTTGTAGAAAGTTGCCGTAGCCACAGGAACTTGTTGAGGGAGGAGTTACGTTCTCACGGGTGGTGAAACATGGAAACTATATCAATCTTAAATGACTAAAGTAAAATGTCTGACAGGCTGTTAGGGATCCACCAATCAGAGGATTCATTGAAGTGTTTTTTGTAAACTCACGGTGATACAACACATTACGTTAAAGTGCTGTATTTGTGTGTAAATTTAAATGTTTGGAATATAGGCAAACCGGATAGGTTTGATATGTCCCTGTATATCTTGGTAGCAAACAAGACGAACTTTGACTTCATCACTAATAGTTGTCCTGTCAGCACATTCTTCCATCCTCTCATTTGCTAGCTTTTTTATTTTGTCTTTGTTTAAGAATTATTCACCAAAATGTAAGAAACAACAAAAATGTAAATAAACAGGCGCTCTCTCTCTCTAAAATTATTTGTGCCACACGTACAGATGAGAATACATTCATTTTTGTCGCAGTAGTATCATCCTACCGTGAAAATCGGATGAAGATCCAACCTTTGGTTTGCGAACAGAAATAAAAACCTCAACTGTGTGTGACGACATCCTGTGTGGGCATCCTCACCTCTGCACCTACCTGCCCACAAGTTGCTCATTTTCACCAGTTTCGCTTACTTCAAAAAATATTCCTTTACGTGAATAATGTCAACACACACACACACAGTGTTAAGATTGAAAGGTAAAACACCTGATAGTGGTATAGTAATACCAAAAAATGACTAAATATCTTCAGGCTTTTGAACTGAAAACAAGTAAAGCTGATCATGCAATGTAAGGCTTTTAAAAATACCAAAGCAGCACTGGGTTAATCATCACTCAGACTAATCATTTCCAGACATCATTATGACTCTTTTTTCTCTACCTGTTCTGCAAATTTATATGAGTGTCCACATCGTATCGCAACACATTAGTAAGGCCCTTTTGTAAAGGTGCAGGGTGTAGCGATAGTTGTGAGCCTCTTTTGCAGCGTGTCAATAAGTGCTTGACACATGTTGTTGACATGTGCTTGCAGATCCAGCCGCAGATTCTCAATTGGAGTTAGGCCTGAACTTTGAGTAGACCATTCAAACACATAAATATGCTTTAAATCAAAAGCCAGGAGTGCTTTGCAATCTCCAACATGTTTCCCTCCAATATGTTTTATTTTACATACCGTTTTTGCATGTAAAGCAAAGAAGACCTACCTGTAAACCAAAAAGAAACAAAAGGTGTATTTATTCACATTTTTTCATTAGCATTTTCGAAAGTAGACCATACAGATTTAGTCTCATCTGACAAAAGGAGCCTCTTCCTTATTTACTCTTCCCAAGAGAATCTAAAATGGCTAAATTTGAAGAAAGGCTGCCGAAGCTGCAGACAAAAATAAACGCAAAAGGCTCCGGTGCGTTAAATATAAATAATTCTGTTCCTTTTTGTCTCCGAACAGCACAGTTTAGAGGAAGGGGCCGTTAAAGCAGGGAGGCGAGTGTCGTGCTCACATCGGTTTTAAAGGAGCAGAGAGCATTAGCGCCGAGCGTTCCCTTTGTAATCAGAAGGTCTGGCAGCTGGATGTTGAGCAGCCGCGTCTCTAGCAGACAATGGTTAGCAGGATGAGGCATCCCTCGCCGGAGTCGGATCATCCGCAGCCGTTCACCGCCCCGCTCTGTTTTCAGCGCCAGCGAGACAAACCCAGCTGAGACACACGCTGCTTCATCTGCCTCGAACAACGCGCTCTTTTATCCGCCGCATTCATTTGAAATGCTAAAAGAGGCGCAACAGGAGGAAGCGTCTCGCCTCGGATCAAAGAGCTCCTTTGATTTGATGTTCTCGTGCGTGAATGTCGGCATATTCACAGAGCAGGTGATTGGCACCTCATGCTCCTGATGATTTTCTTCTTCTTCTTTTTTTTTTTTTTTTTGTCTGTCTTCCGGCTCCTCCTCCTACTATAATTGCTCTCCTATTTGTTCCACCTTGATCCCCATTTCTTCGTCTCTCCCCTTTGCGTGCAGCAGAAACACAAGTGTTGAAATAAGTGTCGAGAATAAGGCCTCTCCTTCCCTGCTCTCATTCAGCTCCCTGTGCCATATCTCTTTCATCCGTTTAGATAACGGGAGCCATCCTGCTGGCAGTGGGAGTCTGGGGGAAGTTGATGCTGGGTCCGTACATCTCCCTCATCGCCGACAACTCCACCAACGCACCGTACGTCCTCATCGGCACCGGGACTGTCATCATCGTTTTCGGCCTGTTTGGATGCTTCGCCACCTGCAGAGGAAGCCCATGGATGCTGAAGCTGGTAAGAACCTGTAGGTGTTGTTCTGCAGGAAGAGTGAGAAGTACTGATGAATCCTGAATCCTCAGGTCACATGACTTGAGGAACAATGCTTTAACTTTATCCCGAGTGAAGATAGGAGTTGTCTGTAGCTCCTTCCGGGTGTCTTGTTCACTTAATCGTGGTTATGTGAGAGTAAGCATCCAAAGGCAGATGATATTCACCTCAACATTTTCATGTTATCCATGCAAATCTCCCGCTTTCGTTCCTCTTCATGTAGTACGCCATGTTTCTCTCGCTGGTCTTCCTTGCGGAGCTTGTGGCGGGGATCTCTGGATTTGTGTTTCGTCATGAGGTCAGAGTCGTTTCACTGCAGCTGTGCAGTTGTGCAAGTCTGTGTCGACATATTGGACTTAAGTGTGTGTCCGTGTTTTTGCAGATAAAGGGAACCTTTCGCAGGACTTACACCGATGCAGTCCTGAACTACAATGTTAAGGATGAGGCGAGCCGTGCTGTTGACTACTTGCAGAACAATGTGAGTGGTAACATAAAGCTGAGTCACAGACTCGGAAAATGATACTGTCCACACTTTAAAAGGTTGGTTACCTTTGATGAAGTGCTCTATGGCCTGCCTCTTAATCACACAGGTATATGAGACACAGTAGACTCGCCTGCAGCACACGTACAAAAACGTTTACAAAATCTTAATAAAGGAGCTGAAATGGAGACTTTGCAATTTTGAGTCAAGTTGTACTGAAGTTGAAAAATCAAAGATTTCAGATTTGACATGGAATATCGCTGCAGAAACACCTTGAACTCAAGGTCTTGGACTCAAGTCGTGCTTCAGCCACACGAATCAGACGTTAGACTTGACTTAGACTCAAAAGATTCTCCACCTAATGTCAATGTCTGGCACTCCATTGACAGTCTTAGTCTCAACTGGCCTTTAACTTCCACAAAGACATCAAACTTGAATTATACTTGTGCTCTAATGACTTGAGTCTTGGACTCAGGTCCATGCTGCTCAAGCAAAGAGATCAAATTTGCTTTAGTCTGGTGGTCTTAAGACTTTTGTTTTAACACCAAGCTCAGGAGCTGGAGTTTTCTAAACCATGTTCATCCTCTGCAATTGGGTGAAAGCACGCCAGTGAGCTAAGATTATTGGAGGAAATGATTAATTTGGTCCTCTCTGAGTCACCGTAGTGTATACAAATTATTCTGGCTGTCATGGTAATGGTGCACACAGTATGTATGGCTCTCTGTATTGTTTGACGACATGTTCAAGTTAAAATAGTACACATCTCCTTCCAATTATTTAGTCAACGTTACCATGTAGCAAGCAGACTGCAGTTCTGGGCAGAGATGTATATATTGTCTTGTTAAAGGGCGTGTTTTATTTATTAGCCAGAGATTTAGTAAAGGTGTACAACAACCTGTTTGTGTCTGTTGTAAAATCATATTTATGACAGAGGGAGACCGGAAGAAGGTGCATTTCGACAAACAACAACACCATAGTCCCAGAAAACTCTTAAAAAGTTGTCAGTACTGGTATGTTTTTTACTGTACAATTTTTGCCTGTATGATTCTGAATGAATGTTTTTTTTTGTTTGTTTGTTTGTTTGTTTGTTTGTTTGTTTTTGGGTTTGTAGCTGCGTTGCTGTGGAGTTTATAACTACACCAACTGGTTTGGCAGCGTGTTTTACCCCTCCAACGGTATCCCTGCCAGCTGCTGCTTTAACTCCTCTGATTGTAACCCAGACGATCTCCGCAACGCAACCGTAGCGCCAAGCAAGGTCTACCACCAGGTAGGTTCTGATTGTTCTCCATTTTCTTTGTGCTTTTCCAAAAATAAACAAATCTCTTCAAGACCTCCCGGCTTCTCCATACACCAACATCTGCCTCTGTTTCTCTCCCATAAACCCATCTTCCCTTTACTTTGCGTATGCAACGTGTCCCTGTTTCCTGTGCAGACTGACATGCCCCCCTTTGTTTCAGGGCTGCTTTGACTTGGTCACTTCATTCATGGAAACCAACATGGCCATCATTGCTGGCGTGACGTTTGGGATCGCCTTCTCACAGGTAGAGAAAAGTGTGCCAAAAAACAAAACAAAATGGTTCCTTATGATTTGCAACGGTTCATTGAAGCTCACTTTGTGTGCGTTTTGTTTTGTTTTCAGCTGATTGGCATGTTGCTGGCCTGCTGTCTGTCCAGGATCATCACAGCTAATCAATATGAGATGGTCTAGCTGATGTGACGTGGCAGGTGAGACGCAGTTATTAAAATTAAAGCACAGCGCCAAAAAAAGAAAAGAAAAGAAAAGAAAAAAGAAACCACTCCAACACTAAAATGTTCTCTATCTTATCAGGGAGATGGAGAGAAGAAAAGACAAAGTGTCTTGTCGCAGGACTGAAATGAATTCCCAAAACTCCCATCACACACCTGCATCGGAAGCTGCCTCCGTCCGTCTCTCTGCCTGTGACCTCGGTGTAAAATCTTTATGTAACTTATTGTAAAGCACCATTCCTCGACTTGCTGCAGTTGCATCAAAGCTTTCTGTACCATGCACCACATCGACAACGCTTGATGTAAAAGTTGCTCATTGGCAGTTTGTGTTTTTTTGTTGTTGTTTTTTTTGTTCTCTGATCGGTGCGGCCCACAGAGGGCAGGGGGAGCAGATTGGAGAGCCTCAGAAGGACATCACTTAGAAACCTGAAAGTAACCCTTCCATTGGTAGGTTTAGTTTTTCCATTTGTCGTTGCTCATCACTGTGTTCCCGTAGGGGTTGTAGTCTGCTGTTACATGATTATGTGCACTAAGGAGGAGAGGTCATGTTGCTAAAGGAGGCAAAAGGGAAAAAACTGCTGTAGAGTATTTTTGAACCACGATAATGAAAAATATTTTTTTGCCCATAGTCTATGGAATTTAGAAAGCCAAATAAGTGAACAAATTTGATTTCTTACTTTTTAATTCTCACTGTGAAACAAGAAAATGCGTTTTGAGGCATAAGATGGGTAAAAAGGAACTAATATTTAAGCTATTTAATCAGCTTTACATGTAAAAATGATTTAATCAGAGTTTGAAGAGCCCATCAAACCGAATGTTGACGCTGGACATAACCCAGGGAACCTTTATTTAGTGGTATCATGAAAGTCACATTAAAACACCCCCCGCTATTCGTATGATTCAAAGAAACAGAAGAGAAAAATGTCTTTCTGGTTATTTTTGTTCATCCTTCCGGACTTGATCCAAACCGACCCGGTTAAACACAATAACTTACACCTGCCATTAAAATCTGGCACGCTAAATTCTTGCAGTCTTGGATAAAGTTGTGACCAGGTCTCTTCAGACTCTGAATGAATTTTGCGACTCAGCCGTCTTTCTGTTTTCGATACCGTTGTCGCCTTGCGCAGGCACCTGCGCAGGCACCTGCGTAGGACACTGTCAGAATAAGAAGAACAACATCTGAGAATCACTGTTTGGATCTGAACGTGCGTAGTTCATGTTAGGACTCTGTCGTGTGGTCGGTAGGACGTGGGAAGAGATTTAGATCGTAGGATTCTGCTCGTCGATCCAAGAGTAGTTTTGCATTTTTTTGGGTGAAGTTTTGCTGAGCTTTTGTAGTGTTTACATTTTAGCCGTCGTCGACAATTTTCCTCTTCAAGCGATCGGGATGTTTAGTCATTTTCTTCTGGTGAAATAGTCGGCAGTCTGTCTGTCTACCAGCAGAGAGTTCAGTGGGCGTCGCTCGGCGAACATCGACGAACCACGGTTGTTCTGTGTGATTCACCGACCTGCTGCTGCCATCATCATCATCCTCATCTGTAGATATGTATGGGAAATGTAATTTATATGACGTGCTGTTTCACAATCTAATATGCTAATCAGTATAACTGTCGTGTCATGGTTTTTCAATCCACATCGAGCTCTCAGAGTCAGTATTTGTTTGATAGTTTGTAAGAAACTTGCACTGGGAAAAAAAACAAACAAAACAAACAAAAAAAATAATTATTGTAGCTAATGTTTAGTTGAGAAATAATGCACACTTTAGCTCTACACTTATTATGGTTTGTTGGTATTTCGTTTACAGCTTTGCCCAGATGTTTTTGATCTCTTTTTATGTCTGTGTGCGCGCATATGTGTGTGTGCGAGCATTTAGTAGATGTTGTGGCTCCAGCTGTGATTTTGTTTTTCTTTTGTTTTGCTTTTTTAGTCAGTATTTAATTGTGGCATTTCCTTAAAAAAAAAATTGTAAATTTGATTTGTGAATGTGTGGTTCCTTGCGCTCTCTTCTCCAAACTTTTGTTCTGTAAATACTAAACTGTAATACCATCCAGCTTACACTAGGGGTCACTAGAGGCCCAAGAAGAACCGCACCATGCTGTCTACTACTGACTAAGTCACCATCAGTGGTCTTATTATCAATAAATATACAGAATAACAGTTTTGCTTGGTGTAAGTTAATTTCGGCTTTTGCATTGCGGCACCATCAGCTATTGTCTATTCAAATCACTTTGCATATAGAAAATCTGCCACTGCAACACAAGTGACTTAGTTTATTACATTATTCCTGTAATTTTTTTTTTTTTTTTGGGACATCTTTACTTTTTGTTCCTGACTTAAAATATGATCTGGGATGTACTGGGGGCTGGCAGCATCTGGTTGCAGATGTCATAAGACGTCCATAAGAAATGAACCAAAATTCCAGCAAGCTGTTTTGGAAAAACTTGAGGAAGGATTTCAATTTCAATTTCAATTTGGATTTAAAAGTGTTTCGTTAGAGCTAAGACATTTACAGGTTAAGATGAGTTTTGCAACAAAGTTTCTCCTCTCACCGAGAACCTCTTGGCATTTCTGGTTAGCTGACCTCATGCCTCAGATTGCAGGGGGGGGTTTTTTTTGTTGTTGTTGTTTTTTTTAGGATAGCCACGATCCAACATCTTGCCGCTGACACTTTAACGTTTTGAATGACGGATTGGACAGCCAGAACCTCGCAGAGTGAGTCTGTACGTTCAGCAGTCAGAAGACGACTCTTGTGAGAGCAATGCAGAGAAACAAACTGACCTGTGGATGGAAGGAAGATGGAGTATCCAGCTCTCACGCATGCATCTGGAGAGCGTGGAAACTCTGCGGAAAGGAAAAGCTTTGGGGTTTATTTGTTGTTGTTGTTGTTTTGTTTTTGTTTTTTTAAACACGCATTATGTCCTTTATTTCTCTTGTGGCGTTTGTCCATCATTTATAATATTCCGTTAAGGTTCATTGAATTGTGTTCATAATGTGAAACAATGAGCGCCTTTGCGAGGCGCCGTCTATTTTTATTTTTTTCTCTGACACTACGCAGCTGCTGTGCCATCTTTGTCCACATGATGGCGCTTGAGCATCAGCGGAAAACGGAACCTCGGAGCGAACTAAATGAAGGGAAACGGAAGGACGCCGCGCACACACACACACGCACGCACACACACATCACACACACATACACACACTCGCACAGGCGCTTAATCTCCACCTCTCTCTCCCTGTCTGTCTTTCCTCCTCCGCTCCTCCGGGCCGCATCGGAGGCAGCGCGGTGACAGGCGGTGTGAACACGAGGAGCAGCGAGGAGAGCAGCTCCGCTCGGTCAGACCGCGGCCAGCCAGCGGAACTCGCTCCAACCTCGTTACGCAAATTACCGGCAGAGCGGCGCGGCAGTGGGTCCGCTAATGGAGCGTGCGTGCTGCTGGCTCTCCGCGCTCCTCCTCGCCCCTCGCCTCCGCCTCTCCGCGGCACATAATGGGCTGTGGGCTGCAGGGAGGCATTCACCGGGGAAGCGCTATTACTCACTCAGACACACACACACACACACACACACCCACACCCACACACACACACACACACACACACACACACACACACACACACTGCACGCACTGCGCAGCGCACACACACACCTCAATGTGCAGCCAGACTAATTATTAACAGGGCGAGCACACTTACACCCACCCTTTTTGTAACATCAAAATAAACAACAAGGAGATTTACTTTTTTATATATATATATATATATATAGAATGAAAACATGCTTGCAAAAGCAGTTTACCTCGAGACTGGGGCTCTAACGTTTCAGTCCATTTCAGAGGGCCTCAATAACAGAACCACCTGTCTGCATATTGCATTACATGTCGCCAGCCCCAAAAATAACCTTTACTGTTGATTCAACGGCTCTCAAAACAGCTTCACCAATGACTTAGCGAGATTTACTTTGGGAGTCTGGACTTCCAACTGCTTTGTTATTTTTACCTTAGCACTTTACTTTTTCAACAGACTGTGGTCCTTAATTTCAAAAAATAAATAAAAAATAATATATATATATATATATATATATATAGATAGATAGATAGATAGATAGATAGATAGATAGATAGATAGATAGATAGATAGATAGATAGATAGATAGATAGATAGATATTAATAATTAGTAATCTGTATCAATTTCAGACTTTTTTTATGTCCCATTAAAACATTAATCCGTCTTGGGGTTCATAAATTAATCAAAACGGAGAAAAGGATTCACTAAAAGCACACTTATGCTTAAATGTTGAGATAAAAAAAAAAACGTTTTAATGCAAAACTTGGGCGTTTCAAACGATTAAGTGAAAACAACTGAAAGGTGAAAACCTGGCAATTGGACTCAAATGTTTCTTTTGCTGGTCTTGCGTGAGGGAAAAGCTAAACCTACTGGAAATGCTCCAGTTTGTCCACAGTCGCCCAGATTTGGACAGCGGTTCTAAAGAAGACGTCTTGCTTTCCGAGGCTGGGTAGGAAGTCCACATCTTGAACACTCAAACAACTGTGACCATGACCCTTGACCCCGGTTAATGTTTCCAATTACAGCAAATGTTTTTGCTTTTTTTTTTTTTTGTCTTGTGGCCATTATAGTCAGAAATGTTATAAGTTATCGTTTAAAATGTTAGTTTTGATTAATTTTTATGGAATATTCCTCAATTATTCTCCAAATTTTCAAGGCACAGTCAGAAAGAAACAACAAACTTGTCCAATAAGAGCTCATCTGTGTTTTGGAAATGTCATCTCAGAAGACGTTCCAATTCATTCATAATTCAAATAGTTTATTTTAAAAAAACAATGCTAAGGAATCTCATTTCATTCGTCACCTAGGAGTGTCTGATTAAGAATCCTTGGCATCACATTTGAATTCACAGTGTACTTTGGAGTAAAACGCGTCAGCTCAAGGACACACATTCTCTGACTTTTGTCACCTCTCCGGCATCCGCCACATCAGCACAATGAAAACGAGAAGAAATGTTTGCTGCACAACGTTTCATCTGAAATATGCTTTTCACTGTTTTTGCTTTAAAGGAAAAGACGTTTCCAGGAGCTTGCAAAGGGGTGCTGCTGTTCTAACCGAACTGAATTTCAGAATTTTAAGCTTAAAAAAAAATCTCTATAGATTATTTAGTGATGGTAAATAAATATATTGCACCCTCACACTAATACTTAGAAGCAGTGAGTTTTTCTGAGTTTCCATATTATCAATTTTTGTGACTCTGATTAAGCTGTAATAAACTTCAGCTGTCATGAATGGCATTTTTTTGTTTTGTTTTGTGTTTTGACATTCACATCCTTAAAGCCATAGTGTGCAGAGAAGAAACAAAGGATCAAAACGATCTCATCGTACAAAGGCATGAATCAGGCGAGGGGTCCAGCAATTCTCCACAGCGAAGCAATGTTTTATGGTCTAACTGAACCAAATTCAAAGTTTTCTCTGCAATTTGAAAAGAAAAAGAACTGATTCAAATTAGAGAATAGGTAAATATTAGTTTATTTATGTTTCACATGACAGAAACCCGCCATTTTATTAGGGTTGGGTACACTCAGAAACACGCGCGCACACACGCGCACACACACACACACACACACACACACACACACACACACACACACACACACACACACACACACACACACACACACACACACACACACACACACACACACACACATATGGTTTCCTTTGATATCCACCCTCTTATGCGCTTACAAGGGTTTGCTTGTACACGAACCATCGTTGAAAGCCTGCAGACTCAATCTGTCTGGAACTAATTTTCCAGCTATTTGGTTTGCCTGATGAGTATTTCTTCACTCCATCTAAATGAAGGAAGGATGCGTCCTCAGTATACGCTCTGTTATTTCGGCTAGCACCAGGAAGCATCAAGATCCTGATGTTGATAGCTTAAAGGAGTGCGTCCTCAGATATACGCAACATCTGTTATTTCTAAGCGGCAATAAAAAAAATAATAAAAAAAACAGAAACACAATCCAATGCTTGTATCTCAATAGGACATTGAAATGGACTCTTTTTTTTTTTTTTAGCCTTACGTCACATTATAGCGTTATTCTCTCATTAAAAACAAAACTGGAGCGTTTTCT